TAGTTATTATAACATTTCTATAATATTTGTATAACAGACTCTAAAGATTTTTTATAATAATTTAAAAGTACAAAGATTCTTTTAACAGTTAGAAATTCTATATTTTTAGTGTTTTATATACAATTATGTAATATGTTTAAGTAAGTATACTTTTAAATAAATCAGTAACAATTAACGAGTATTCATTATGTGTAACTACTTCATTACATAATGCATTTTTCGAAGCCGGTGCGATACCAACGTATGTATTATGTTGATTCATTTTATGGAATCCGTTTTTATAGTGGCATGATCTACAAATTGGAACCTTCTTCAAAGGTGAAATAAATAAAGACCGCACAAAGATTTTGATATCGAACACAACAAAACACGAGGGAATATATACCAATTTTCACCTCAAAGGCACCGATCTATGAAGAAGGAACCGACAATCGAAAAGCTATCGCAAGGTAAATATTATTTTGAAATAGCTTTGAACACTGGACGGGTTTAAAGTCACGTACTAGCCAATGATTTCAATTTCTCGCAAAGAGTTCTACGACTTGTTTAAGATGGTACTCCATAGAGCATGAAGTGCTAGTTATATGACGAGAATAACTAATGTCTTCTCGCTTAATACCTACATATAAATAAAAGATATTGGTATAAAAGTAAAGAAATGTATAAAATCTGATTACAGATTAGAGACCGGCGGCCGACACAAGTATAAAAGTAGTTTACATAATTTCAGTACCTTCATAAAACAAATAATCGATAACATTACACTTAACTTCTGTTTAAACGTTTTAAAGTTTTCACAGATGTATAGCTAAAGTTTAATTTCGGGCGAGTCACTAGTAAATAATATACCTAATAGTTAATATTTCTGAACGACAATCGAAACCATCCAACATGGTCCTGAAAGCCATTTGAGGAAAGTATAAAAAGATTATGTTTGTAGTGAACGTTACAAAAATAACTGTAGAGTTATTACTATATGAGGGGCGACACACAGTTTGAGATTGTAGTTTATTGAAATATATCAACTTACTTTTTAATTGGAATTATATTAATATAAAGTTTATAAAATCTTGAGCTGTAATTTACCTCTATATGACGTATTAGATTTACAGTTGAAGTTATTATTGCAATCAAACTTACATAATTGACTAAAAAATAATAGACCAAAACTTATATTAACTCTCCAGAGCAAAATGCTGTTACCAGATAGATATCATTTTAAGGACAGAGTTTTCTCACAATCTTCCGAGTTGCGTGTCTTAGGGGAATGCAACGGGGTTATATTAAATCCCACATCTCGTGTTCTGAACACCCGCGCAGTCTTTAAAATGTTCCACCACCGCTCATTGATATTGGAATTGTTTAGATAACTGGTGGGAACAGTTTTTATACATTAATGTGCTACATAAAATATGTAATTATACTTTTAAACGTAAATACTAAAAATTATAATTAACAAGCTGTTGGCCGCGACTTAATCTGCCTTTATATATATTAAATATGAAATATAAACATATTATTGTCTATTATTTTTATGAACAAGTAGTTTTTAAATCTAAGAACATTATAATGTAATAAGTAAGAATTTCTTTTAAATGGAAGAAGATTCAATATGTTGAATAAAATAGAGAAACTTTCTTGTTGAAATAAAAAGCTGTGAGTGAGACAGCTGTGGATAACGGATTGGTTCTCAAACTATTCGAGGCGGCCCTGTAAGTTTCATATTTGAACTAACATCGAGGCCCGGCGTTGGCTGCGTTGCATTACAAAATGTTCAAAGAGTTATAAAGTTCGAAACTTATATAAAAGTAGTTAGTGTAGTAGTAAGTAATCGATCGAATAAATGAATATTATGTATATTTGAGACGTTTAGAAATTCTGTAATAGTAATGTTATATTATGTTATCTGTGGTACTACTTTATATATGTTAGGAAAAATGTCTCACATACTTAGTGACTCAATCTTATTTATAATAGAATTTCATATATTGTTGCGTACCTTGATAGAGGCGGAATACTTTATAGTAATTTCAGTATAAACACGGATTCAACTCTTAGGACATAAAATCTTTTATATCCTCAACTCTTCGAGGTTCCGAGAATTAACACCCGTTCAGACAGATAAACCGTGAACGGATCGTTTAAATGCCGCTCAGGACAGTAAATTATTACTCTCAACGCCGCTGTTTTGTCCGCAATTTGTTACAAGTTCATCCTACGAAAATCATCGCCCAGACCTTCTAAGTATCAAGATGTAAGTATATTAAAAGGTTAAAAATGTTATTATTATTGAGGTCTTTAGAAATAAATAAACAAAAATCACATATAATTTTATTCTTTCCAGTGTTACAAAATGAATATTTATTTTTATAACTGTTTCATTTTAAATATCTATTTTATTTTTTAAGGTGCTGTTAAACTTAAACAACGGTGTAACAAAAAATTGTAGTTGTCCTGGAAATAATTTATCATTACTACAATACTTATTTTAGAAGTTTAGATAATAAGAAACTAATACAGATATAACAGATCGTCTAAAAGGTCTAATCCCCTGATTATGTTAATATGACTCTACTTGTCCGAAGTTTGAGTGTTTTTACGGACACACGCCTAAGAAAAGACATTAAAAGTAAAAAGTATGCAAAATAAAGATATAGTAACTCGCCCAGTAGTAGTATTATTTACTTGTTGGAAATAGGTTTAAGAACATTAGGAACTTGATATATTTCAATGTCTGTTTTCTTAGCCTATTCTGATATTTAAAAAAATGTACTGGTGTAATTATTACTAATGAACTCGCTTTGATGCTGTTATATTCCCGCTTCATCAGCATCTACGTCAACAAAAAATTTCAAACAATTTTAATTACAAATTTGTAGACTTGGCACTTTTGAAAGGACGAATCAGTATTTTTTATTATAAATTATGCAAATCTTAATTAACTGGAAGAAAAATTCTCAATAAAATATAGGTTAAATTTATGTAGTATGCACAATGCACATATTATGTAGCCTATATTACAGTTGTATAATAATGTATTAGACAAAAATGCGTATTATTTTATAACATGTTTTAAATAAAAATTGTCTGTGGTTTTGTATAATATTTTATTGATGGGATAGATATTCATTACAATTAAAAATATTCGAGAATAATACTGGAATATTTTTTCAAAATGCACTTTACATAGTATTGAGTATCTACTCAATACTAGACTACTACTGGTACAGACGGTCTACATTAAATTGTAAGTATACGTCGACACATTAGTGAGATTGAATCCTCTTTGGTAAGTTTAGAATTGCAAAATAGTGCGTCCTCTTTCCAATGCTGTTTCATTCGGAAGAAAATAATATATATTTTCTTTTTCAATCTAAATTGAATTTAGGGTACCTCGTTGCGACGAAACTATATAACTTTAGATCTCTTTATCTCAAAAGTTTTAATATATTTTGTAAATAAAATAAATGTAAGATATATTTAAAATACTGCATTAAACTTAATTAATGCTCACGGTAGGTACATATCCTCTTTTAGTAAATTGATATCAGACAACTATTTTAGTCTCTGAGGATTAGATATGACTTCAGTCTATACCTATGACTAAATATGATGTAATCATTACCTACTATATACAGTAGATATTATATATGTAAAGCAAAATATTATGTGAAAGACAATATTTCATCAAAATTTTTATACGTGGATACAAATATATATTAGATGTAATACTGTATATTGCTTGTGATAAGTATAAATATTTCCATTGTGAGTGGACAAGAAATTAATTGGGTACCTATGTATAAAAACATTGACTCGAATTACAGCAGAAGACTTTAAGATAGAATGATATATATGAAGATACTCATATTTTATAGTAAGATACAGAAAACGAAGTCGATGCGCTTTCATTTGTTTCCCTCGGGGAAGATAATCAAACTGGAAGAGGAGCGACGTCAGCGAAAACTAATTTGATCTAAAGTTGGCGGTTCCACGGCCAAGCTATTTGCCTTAGTAGTTACCATCCTTAATACAATGTACATAATATCCCGCCATTGTTTGAAACTTCGATAATAAGGCTGGATATGTCTTAGAATAACTTCAGCCGAGGTGTGCTTATGAAAGATGTATTTGGTAAGTACGGTATGAGTCAACCGCCCGTGGCGAGAAGTTACGAACTTCAATTGTGGCACCTACATATATTACCTACTCGTACACTCGGATTGGCCGTTCTTTGAAATATGGCAAGATGTCATGTGCGTGACGAGACAACCATGCTAATTATATTTTACACTAGCTATATCCCTAGGCTTTGGTCGCGTAATTTAGTTACAAAAAGTATCAAATTTATACATATCTTACAAATCCATGTTTGAACCCTATTCAAACAGTTCTGATATATATCTATATATATATCTACTTATATCTGCTTAAGAATCGATTTTGTTTTGAGGAAAGTAAACTCCAGAACCACTGCACCTATTTGAGAAATTCTTTCACAGTTTGAAAGGAACATTATTCCAGAGTAACTTAGACTATGTATTATGTTAATATATACAAAACTCACAAAGTTATAAGAACCCAGCCGAAACATAGGCGAGCCTCTCTGTGTATTATGAAATTATTAATAGCACCGTATGTAGGTACTCACATAGCATATAATAATGTCGAAATATATTTATGTATAACTAATACAGCAGATGTTATCCTGTCCGTCCTGTTAATATACTATGGGGTCTAATTGTATTTAGAAACCAAACAGAATCTAGTCACAAGCTGAGCAAAGCTTGTGTTATGAATACTAGACAACTAACATAAAAACTTAAATATATATTTTTTGTAAATACATACATTATAAATATATAATACACCTTGACCGATACAAATAATCATACCTATAAATACAAATATTTGCACCGTGCGAGGAATCGAAGCTGCTACCATCGGAAGTAAAGCGATGTGTTGAACAGAAAGACCTGTTTAAGAGAGGTTATAATTACCTTCTTCGGCTTCCCATTCTTTCGAAGTAGCTTGGCGCAGCATAGTCCTCTTGTGTCAGGCAACGGCGCCGGCGGACGTCGGGACCAACACAAGCGTTGTGGACTTGCCGCCGCCGCCGCCTCGCTCCGACCCTCCTCCTTATCTTCACACATCACCGTTCCCCAGCCCTCTTATCCTATGCTACCCACGAAAAATCACAACCTACAAGATATCGATGCTTTATGAGAACCTCTGGCATTGTTTTCGCCTATAAAACTACGTCCACTGCTCGATAAAGCTATCGGGAAAATGTATTATAGAGAATGGCGTCGATTTGGTAAAACATGTGTTCATTTACTTTCTGAGTGTGAGGTACAATTTCAAATAAATAAAAGCTTCAAAAGTGGGTAAGTTCGATATTTTGTACTATTTGGTCATATAAGAAAAAATATATAAAATTTATGCTATTACTATCATAAAATCGCACAACGTCCGATTCAGCATCTGAAACAAAGAAAATAGTGTTTTTTTTAATTTCACATATTTAGGACGTTTTTCATTTGTATTTATGGATAGAGTCATATTTAGGTACGTTTTTCAAAAACGGTTTATTTGTCATTTATACTTAGTGCAACTTTTTCACTGTCCGCCGGTGAACCATTTTGTTTCCGTAAGTGAGTATTGTTTTTTGCTTGAAATATTGCGATTTTTGTCTTAAATGAGAGACTCATTCCTTTGTAATATATTTATATTTTGAAATCATGCTTTATACCAACAGTACATTTTATGTAATATAAGCCGTGTTTAATCTTTTGGTGATGACGATTACGTAATATTGCTCAGTTCTGGTTAAATTTTATGTTGATGGTTACGAATGTCGGGTAAGTGTGCGCATGCGAATACTTACCCCGCTCCGCTTTGGCTTTGTATTTATGATGCAATTTGTTATTTCAGAGTTTAATTATACATAAAAAATGCCGATTATAAAAGAAATGCCGGATAGAAGTGTTGTCACAGAGGAACAGCTAGAAGCTGTTAAAAGATTAAGATAGCAAACGACAGTGTGGCACCCGCAATAATGAGTGTACCTTCGTCTGAATAACTGTCATCCATCCAAGAAATAAAGTTGGCCTTAGGCATTTCTTGGATGAATGACTGTGATTCAAAATTGAAAAAAATATTGATTGGTCCTTATAAAATTGGAAAAACAAAAAACAAGAGGAAGAATAAATTGCCAAAAAAGAAGATACGACTTGATCTGAAAATAAATAAAATGATGAGCAGGAATTATTTTGCCCACTGTGTGGAGAAAAATACATATTTCCACCGAATGAAGACTGGATCCAATACAGCATCATATATACATATTTTTTGATATAAATTATATTGTAGTTACATGTTGCGTAGTTGTAGTGTGCGCATTTAAACAGTTTTGATTTTGTTGATTTCCAAAGAATTTGTGTAAATGATAATTATTTATATTGCGTTTAAGTTGTTGATTATTAAATATTTTATATAATAAACCTTGTTTTGTTCCAGTTAACTTCAAATATTTTATTATATGATACTTCAAACCTTAAGTGCGCACACTTGCCCCACGTGACTCTATGTTTTTATTATGGTTTCACAAAATTCAAAGATTACTAGTGAAATAAATAGTTGAAAAAAATATTTTGGAAGCGTCCGAGGAAAGTAAGTACATATATACATATTTTTTGATATAAATTATATTTAGTACTAGTTGTACCCGCGACTTCGTCCGCGTGGAATTTATCTTTCTTCTACTAAAATAAAATAAATTTTCTAAAATAAAAGTAGCCAAAGTTACTCCTTATTACATCAGCTACCTGCCAAAAAAGTCCCCTTAAAATCGGTCTAGCCATTTCAGATATTAGCCGGAACAAACAGACAGACAGACAGACAAAAATTGTAAAAATGTTATTTTGGTGTATGTAGCGTATACATGCAATAAAAAACGGTTATTTCATATAAACGGTTATAACATATTACAAACATGTGTATGTTTGTAATATGTTATAACGTTGTAAAATGTTGTTTCCAATTTTATTTATATCATAGATATAAATGAAATTAGATAAGGTATAGATAAGGTAAATACAAATAAGAACTGTGTATAGATAAGATAAAAACAAATACGCACAATAGATTTTAAATAGTTTTTAATACCTTATAACATTATATTGGAGTTCAAAAGAGATTGACAGCCAAAATGAGCGTTACTTTGTGAACAATGAGTAACTTCGTAACTTTGCGATCGCATCCAACTGAGTAATGACGCCCTACTCAAAACGAACTTAGCCTAATTTCCATGTAATTTGTGTTTGCAAGGATTTGACGAATCGTGAAGTAAAAATGTTACTTGTAGACCGCACCCTGATGAATATTAAACAAAACAACGACTAATGAATGCGCGAACTTACTCGACATAATTACATCAAACTCATTGAATTTTTGTCGAACTCCTTGACTAGAGTCACTCGTTAAATATTCTTGTCAAGTATTTTATGGAGTAGGAAGTGTGAGGAGAGGGGAACATAATCAGTAATCGATGGATTAGTCATTTAAAATTTTGTTTAGCAAAAAATAACTTCAATCATGATGTAAAATTATAATGAATCAATCAAATGAATATAAGTATAAAATCTGAACCAATAATTTTCTTTATCCAAACTACTAATATACAATAAAATACAGTTAAATTAAGTATCCACTTTATTAGATTATGCCTTCAAATGAATATTTTAGTAGTTATTTATGTGCCTTTTCAACTGTGTTGATTTTGCCTGACATAATCGTAGAAAATTGATAACATTATTATGTTTTAAATTATAACTTGGAAATATATAACTAACTGTATATAAATATTATAATTCAATATGATTTGAAATAACTTTATCAAATCTTTATAACGCCCTAAGGAACCGCCTGATGGTAAGTGATAACGGTCTCCTATACCTATATATGGACAGTACTACGAACATAAACCTATCATATAACTCATGCGTTGTAATTCAAGAGGACTAAGATGCTTCTATCCTGTAATTTCATTGCCTTATTGCCGTCTTCCAAAAATCCTATTCAAAAGCCAAAATAAAGGCAGGTGAACAGATGTCAGCTCTTAATTTGTATAAAGTACCCGTAGTTCGCATAGCAATTTTGGATTCATTCCAACAGCTAATATCCCATTCTGTTTGTCTTTCGAAGCAATAAAATGACTTTTATGCAAATCATACGAATTCTATACATTTTTGATGAGCCGCTCCCCGACGCATTGCCTCGTTTAATTAATACATTTTTCGTCCAAACTTTCATAATTTTTGTTCAAATGATGGATCTCTTATTTTAATATTTGTAGTAGAAATATCCTGAATAAAGATATGTAAGGTAACGTTTGTTTTTCATTAATTTCATCAGTTAGTTAATAAATTCTTTTTAATTTACCCCCGTAATTCCAGTATGAAAACTATCATGTCTTCTACCTTACAGTTATCCACAGGTTGGCACTTCATTCCTACTTTATAATAATTATTATAAAATTGTATTTTTTTTAATTAAGTCATTTAGTGTCACAGTATACATAATCAAGATACTAATGTTATTTTATCCTGCTGTTTTCCCTATGTGAATTTAGACATAGATATGTATACAAAATATCTAAACTTCATAATAATATTTAACTTTTACCTATATAATATTAGCCAAATTACTACGTAGTTACTAATTATAAAAAGCGTTTTAAAAGCTGCTTTACATTTCCAAAGATAACACACAGACTAACAAAATTTCTCAAATTTCTCCGCCGTGTCTTCTATTAATGAATGAGCGAATTTTGTATGAAATGAATATTTACTGCTTGAAATATTAGGTGTTTTCAAATAATTATTTTATTTCACGCATTTTGTCACTTCAGACATGTAATAGACGAATAATTGTCAATTTTAGATATTCTTATAATATAATTATTATATGAACTTTTTATACTTGCCAATATCGAGAGTCCAAATTATTTATAAAATAAGCATATTAATTATTTTAATTTTGTAAATTCTCCTACATACTATGGAAAGATTTACTTATGTATTAAGCATCTATGTAAGTTTTTTAACTTATTTCGGTTTAAGATTATCTCACTTGGGTAACATAATAAATATTTTAATCGCCATAGCGCGACAGTTTGAGCTGCATAATGACGTTGTAATATATATTAACAACAATTTGTCTGATTGTCTTAAGATTTATTTATCTTGTGGAAATACGTTGTTTACATTTGAAATTCAGGATGTAACCTTACAAATTGGGAAATTTCATAGAAATATATACAAGACAAAGTCAATATGGTGAGATTTCACAACTTGTTCCGAACGAGCGGTAGATTAAAAAAATGTAATGACTATTCAAAAATGTTATATTCTATTCTATTCTATTCTATTCTACATATACGTTTATTAGGGAAGTAAACTCTGGAACCACTAATGTAAACTTCTGTCATTATTATTATGTGGTGTTATAAAACGGTATACAAATACAATTTTTTATTAAAGTAAATTTTATCACGACTGATATCTAAGACTAAATATATTAAATTAGAAATAGAAGAAGAGCTCTACACTTCTGAGATTCTTCATTATGAGCAGCGTGTAGTCGACAAGCAGCTTGTTACCTATTAGGTTTTTCATTTATATGCTTATCACGCAGTTGGCTGAACTTACATGACGCTATCGCACACACGACTGCTCAAACGAGATACTCCATGGTTTAAACAACTTTATAAATTTTACTCTCATTACATACTGATAAACCCTCAGTATATGAAAGACAAAGAAAACTTTGCCGACATGAAACCCCAGAGATTTTTTCGTTTTACCAGAAATGAATGGAATTCTCATTTATAGAGTGAGTAAACTGCTTTATAAAATCAAGTGCCTTTTAGACTAAAGGGATATGCTTGTCGGGCGTTTCAACTGAGAAAATGTGGAGTGGGAGGGTAAAAAGTGAAGTATGTGATTTAATATGCATAATACCGACATTGCTACGTAAACACTTTACAAAATAACATCATATTGCTATATAGTTAATTATTATGATTATTTCTAGATTTAATAAGATTCTTTTCAAAATTAGATCTACTTTTGTCAGGAACAGAGTAAACTCCAAAATCACTACAATGATTAGAAAAATTCTTTTACTATTTGAAGCATTGTTACCAGCTCTGCCGAAGCGGGATAGTGATAAGAAAGAAAAAAAAGTTGGTTGAGCAGTCAATATACTTGGTCGATCATTAGTATATGTTTTGATATTTGTTTACTCTTATTAGTTTTTATTGTTAGCTATGTTGTAGCTGGCGTACTGTTCGCATACGTAAATAAAAAATGAATAACTGCTATATCACTCTAAATGTTAAAATTTACTATTGTAGAGTCTAATTAGAACTATTTTACTAGATCATCAATTAACATAGCACAAATACATTAGTGCAAAAAAAGAAAATCATAATAATCCCGATCGATCCAACTAGAAAAGAAGACCAAAAATCTCCTTTTTATATCCGCACCCAGAAGCGGGACAATAAATATAAATAATTATGTACCGAGGAAATATTACAATTATTATTTAACATTATAATAATATAATTATCTACCTATTACAAATATTTAAATTTTATATAGACATGTTCTATGGAATAAGGGTGACTTAGAAATGTTTTATACTTATTTTTAATTTACTTAAACTGCTAAAACAAATAAGTAATATTAATAATAAAATTACAATTAAATAGCATACAAAAGTACCTACATCTATGTACAATTTTATGTAAATGATATCAATTAAACTGCAATCAGGAATATAATAGCATAAATCCATGGTTTGGCTGAAATCTAGTTAATCACATATAAACTGGAACACAAAAATAAAAATAATGAAAACAAGAATATACCTTACTATCTTATATTACTAAATAATGAGACAAACCTGCATTCATCGCCTAAGAAATACTCTGAAGTATTGTACACCGGAATAGATAAGTAAAAATAGAAAAGTTCAGAGAAAGTTTTTCGTAGCACGGCTACGGCTACGCGGGAATGTAAGAGTTGACGCTACAGGCGCGACGGCCGCTACCTCTCTGAGTCGGCAACGAACTGACGCGCGCCTTATATTCAGGGTTCGACCATCGCCCACCCTTTCCCAAATACCCCTTCCTTCATATATAAATATTCACATAGTAATTCACGAACAGAACCGCCACGAAAAGCATTCTGAAACTAGTATCGACAAGCATGACATAAACAAAAAATAAGACAAACGATGCATTAGGTTATTTGGTGTTTACAAATGCCCGCTAAGGTATAACTAATGTATTAAAAATATATATAGGTAATAAATATATGCTTAAATAACATACAGTTGATGACTGAATTATAATTTAATTGTTAATACTGCCATAATCAATATAGTATGTATGTTATTGGATAGGTAGGTAGTTGTAATAAATTTTCTATGATATTACATTTTATTGTACTTTAACTATTAATAACTTAAAAATATTTTTCTAGAATGAAGAGAATATAACTAACACAAGCCAACTTTTTTTAGCTTCGCCTGCGATTAGAAACTTTAAATTTTTTTTATTTCGGGGGCGCACTGCTTGTCCTGTCCTTTGCTCCCTAAGAATCTATAATTAATAACCAAACTCAGCTTTACAATATTAAAATAGATAAGGAAATCGTCTCTATGTGATAACGAACAATGTAAGTATGATGCCCTATAAGGTCCTAATTAATACTATGTGAAGGAAATGTTCCAAATTTTTGCCTTAAGGCACATTTTGTCTACTCCTTCAGACTTAAATTCTAATCTATGTGCTTATTTTGATTCTCTCTTATTTATGACGGTATGCAAACCCGTGGCTTTAACTTTATATACGAATAATTAAACACCCATATTTTATACGGTAGACATGTAGATCATGCCTCGTATAAGTCTTTGTAAACGTGAGTACCTCAAACTCGCCTATTTCAGCCGCCAAGCACCAAGCTTTGTAAGCTGTGATTTTCACTTATAAAGTGGAGATATCTAAGGCTGATAAATTACAGGATATGAAGACAGGAATAAGATCTTAGTCCTTTGGAATGGCAACGCATGATAATGTGATATCCGTGGTGATATTCTTACATACAGGCGATGCGGTTACCGCTTTCCATTAGGTAGGTTGTTGGGTTCTTTGCTTTTCAAATTACTATACTATACTATAAAATATATAGACTAGACATATTTTATAGTGGATAAAACAAAGTAAAAAACGAGACGATTTTCGTAGCGTCATATTTGTTTAACTTTGCCACTGTTTTGAGTATGGTATGGCAAAATCTAATTTGGACATTATCGAGTCTTTTCTATGTAAGATTGTATGTTATGTGCAGTGTTAGCCGATCATAAACAGATTCGAATACCATCTTCAATTCATGAGACTTATTTCACAATGATCTAAGTTCAGTGACGAGCTACTTGCTAAGTATGCTTTTTCTCGAGTCACATATATTTTTTATCTCTCATGACTCGCCCAACAGTCGTTGTCTAGCAGAACAATAACAGCTACATGGTTGCCTGTCGGTATATCAGTATCTAATTAATTCCGCAAAAAAGACTTTGGAAAGAAATGATAGGAAAGAATGTATGGTCTACAAAGAAACTCATAAAAACTGTTTATTTTTTGTTATATTTATTAATATACACAAAAAATACGGTTTATAAAAGGTTTGAACTTTATGAATGATAATCTTTCCTTGCAAATTTTCTAAAAGTAAATAGAGCCCTTATATTACCTTCGTAAAGAGCCGGTAATATGACAAATTATTGCAGTTTTTAAATATGAAAAATTTTATGAGTCTCATAAAAAGCTGTTAGGAACCTTTACAATTTTTAAAAAATTAAATTATTTCTTTGTTCGTAAATAACTGATAAGAGCTTAACCGCAGATTGTATTCATGTACCACATATATTCCACATATAGAAAAGTATATTGCTCTTAATTTAATAGTTTGACGTACTGATTTATTTTACCGCATATAACAATAAAATATCCATAAAATGTTTAACCAAAATTAATAATGACCTCAAATACAAAAATAGAAGTTATCAGGACCACATCTACAACAGAAATTTGGAAAAGATTAGTAGATATAATATTAGTTTCACAGCCTCGGTGGTACAGCGATTTAGCACACGACCTTACTTCCGATGGTCTCAGGTTCCATTCTTCGCATGCAAACATTTATGAGTATGATAGTTTGTATTGGTCTTGGTATTTTTTATATATAGTACAAAAATATGCATTTGAGTATTTATATTAGTTGTCTTGTACCCATAACACAAGCTCAGGACTAGATGAAACTATGTGGACTATTGGATAGCCCACATAGTGTCATCTAGTCACTAGTCAAGGTTATTATTATTACTTTATATTTGAGAGCATTGTGGTTTAGTAAGGCGGCTTAGACCGAAAGGTCGTGATTTCAAATTTATCCGACAGCAATAAGCTTTTGTGAGTAATATATGTATATAACAATTGAAACTTATTTATATTTCAGATGACACTCTAACGTGGTGATGATCTGTCATGGAAACACCTATAAGAAAGAAAGAAAGAAAAATATTTTATTCAATGCTTTTCAACAATGTAAAAAAATTACAATACAATATAAAAACAAACAAAAAAAGATCAAATAAAATGTACGTATAATTAAACTTAAATGTAGATAATTAAAAATTAACATAAAAAAACATAAAAGAATATTTTTTTACATCCATATATTCACTGAAATGGCTCCACTCAGCTTTAATGTGTGTCCTATTTGAACATACAGCTGGTTTTCAGTGGCACCAAAACGAGGAAAAAAATATATATATATAAAAGGGTGAGACAGAGAGGTCACTATTTAAAATATTAATGATAATAATTAAAACAAAATTACAACTAATAAATACAAACCAATTACATATACAAGAAATAATAAAATAACATGAATAAATATAAACATTAAACATATATATACTACTTTGCCGTAAGATTTTTAAGTTAAATAGTACATAGATAAAACTTGAATAGTTTTTTAAGGTGAATAATGATTAATAATCAAACTAATCCAGAAGGCGGCGGTAAATTCGCCCGACTATGTCGGAATAAAACATTAATGAAATGTGGTCATGTCAAGTTTTTGACTACGACAGTCGCGACAGTTGACAAACCTCTGAACTCTGAATTCCTCATCTAGGATAACCATCGTGAGGGTACATTCGTATATTTATATTATCTATTGCTTCGGGTAGTTATATTTAATAAAATAAACTCCTTCCACTATGCATAAAATGAATTAATGTAATACGTAGTATGGAATTGAACCAAGGTTAAAATCTATATTCTGAATTCTGAAGAATATGAATATGTCATAAACAATAATCAACTAAAACTAATAAAACGACAAACTCTAACTTCTAAAATAAATATACACAGGGAACAAAATATTCATTTCACTGTCATTCAATCAATCAAAAGGGAAATAATGATCTTGTGAGCCTGTTTGTACATATAGACGAAAACCGAAATAATTACAATTTTTAAGAATAGTATTTTTAAGTTTAGTAACTATGAACTAGTAAAGAAAGTAAAAGACTAGTTTAATTAAAGTTCTGATACTTCTGTTTTTTATATGATTTTCAACAAAGTTGCAAAATTACTTTTAAGATACTTTATTATATTATACTGATTTTCGCAGTTTCTTATTAGTATACAGAAAGAACAAATAGTAACAAAAAAATTAAAGATGGATTTAAATGATCGTTACCTACAACACGACAACATGAACAACAATTATCAGATTAAAAAAATATTTGTTTTGACAGTTTTTTTAAATAAGCATTAGTTTTTTAATTATTCGGTCTATATCTATAAATAGTATGTATATACCCGCACAATAAACTGTTTGTACAAATTCCTATATGAATGTTTTGTAGATAAATATAATATTACAAAAACAAAAGAGCGTGAACGTGAACTCACCTTAAGCTCTGTCACTTGTATCACATGATGCTTTTAATTATGAAATTAAGAATTATTTTGTATTCGTTCTCAATACACAAATACACAAAATATAAACAATAAGTAAATATAATTTAATTCACAATTACTAGTTTGTTTACATGTATCTGTACAGTATAAGAAATAATATCATGTTGTGCTTGGGCGGGCTCGTAGCGCCGACTAGCGGCGGCCGCGTGAAGCAGTCGCTAGGGCGGCGGCGTCTGGGGTCGCAAGGGTGCCCTGTCCTCTCTTCTCTCGCTCTCTCTCCCGTGTACTACACCTTAATTGACAGAATTCTCCAAAGCGTTACGCGAAAACGACACTTTTATCAATGACATACGAGATATAATATTGCAACGTGCGTAGAGGGTACGTCGTATCTGTCGCCCCACGGAAGCCTGCCCGTAGTGGCCTTGAGTGGGCCCTGATGTTTTCATCCCGTGTGCGTAATAAAGCGTTTAGAAAGGGGACAAGTGACTTTAGCTGAAGGATTTATAGAGAAATCTCTAGAATTAATTCGACTCGATTGTGGCTCTATTGCTTTTTAAGGGGTGACAAGTTTCAAGTCAGATTAAGAGTATTATAGCCATTTGCATAACAGTGATAAAAGGTACTTATAATTGATGTGAATATAGAAAGTAACTGATAGGGTGTCCAAATTTTCTCGAGGGGCATGAGTAAATATATAATATATTTATAAATTATTCTTTGACAACAAGTATAATACGTGTCTGAATGTCTTATTTGATTAAATGATATTGTCTTTTACTCTATGTACGTATATTTATATATATTTTATGTATAATACATTGAACTTTTCAATAGATGTATTGAAAAACAAAGTATTGTAAGAGTACCGATACCTATTAATGACGTTATGTGCTTAGTATTGTCATTTACTTATCTAATGTCAATATATGTATGTACCTACTTAAGGAGAGTGGATTATTAATAAAGGCGACTTGGCTACAAGTACTGTCAACAATGTCAACTACGTCGACGAACTCTCAATTTTCTTTGAAAACCATACGTGATAATTTGGCCTTAATGAAATAACATACCCGATTTCGTCTGCATCTTACCATTCTCTACTGATGCCATACTAGTGCATACTTTTGGGATTCTATTTATGCAGAGGGTAAATAAGGAAACACCATTTTATTCACAGTAGTCTTTTTTATTAATATGTTTTCTCTTTTTTATATACAATGATATATGTCAATAATACAAAGGAGTTTTATATCTAACACATACCATTAGCTCAGTATGAACACAGCGCAGTACAGAGTGCAGCTCATTGTATACACCGGTATACTATAAGATATTCATCCAATATAAATTAAACTTAATCGCAAACTAGATGGCGTTTTCGTGAATTTTTAAACTAACAAAATTGTGTTTTATGTATGTAACGTACTATATAATTTATATATTATACCTACACCAATAATAATAGTAAAGAAACTAAATAGTAGAGACTTTCTTAACAGTCCATGGATCCATTAGCCGAGAGGTAAACCCCGAGCAGTCGCCGGGACTTGTGACACGGGTGTAGGTTTAAGTTTGTGAAGGGGGCCACCTTTGCCAAAGTACATCAATACTTACCATCTCATGTTTCTCTCCCTGCGCAACCAAATCTGGTAGGAGCCTGCTATTGCAGCTTTAAATACACGATCTAGTATAGAACTTACTGAATTCTAGACAGACCAAGATCTTTTAGAAGATCTTGTAGAGACTTCGCTGGTATACCTCTCGCTCGCCAGCCGCATAGCCAATTTTCGATAATTCGTTTATTAGATCGTAATATTTGTTTTTATTGCATAGTCTTTAGGTATATTTGTTTCTTATGGTACAGCAAGCTTTAACAGTATTAAACGTTTAATTTTTTTGGAATATATGAATATGTCTGGACGATGAAACACCTACATCCTCTAGGATCCTATTTGTAGTAAATCCTACGGGGTAAATGCATACATTTACCCCGTAATTTTGTTATGACATATTTGTTCTTCGGAATGGCAATGCACAAGGGTAGGTACATTACTATTAAATGATGAGGTGCTATTCATGTATATAGGCAACGATTGCCACTTACCCTCAGGTGGTTGATAGGATAGGTGATTGATAGAAAATACTGTTACAATGTGACGTTCACAGAAGAAGGTAACAGCTAAAGTTGCTTTTTGCAATCCTCTCGGAGGACTACTTTTTTGTCAATACTCAATAATTTCAGGACCTTCTTTCGCATCACTTTATTCATCATCTCGGCTAATACAACTTGATAAAATCTTTTGCATAGCTAGAGCTGCGAATTTCTTTACGTGATTAATTTCAATTAGTAATATGTATTAGCAGAAAAACCGACTATTATAGAAGCGGAAGTTGAGGTGAATCACAGCATACAGAAATAGAAGATGACCTATGTGGTCAACCAACTAACAATTAATACGGAAATATAGTTTATCAAGTGACAGCAACCATAATTGCTGATATCATACATCATTGCTCATTAATGATAAACAATTTTTTACGATAATTCTAATGCTGTGGGCGTTCGGGTCTACATGAAAATGTACACAAATGTTTATACTCTTACAGATTATCGATTTTTTAATTACCTTGAATTAAATAAATAAAAATATATTTTCGTGCATGAGAAGCAAAATCAGCAATAAATTACAAATTAATATACAATAGGTAATTTATTAAAAACTTTATTAATTATTTCATTATATTAATTATTTGCAACTATAAATGAAATTGTTTATTTTAGTGTATAAAGATATACCATATTAAAGGCATTTACCTTATTGTACCCCATAACGCAAATTTTATGACTTTTTAATAACAATGCATTACTTTTAAAAGCATAACAAATATTTATATAATATTGTGTTGTAAATTAATTTAAAGTTATCCAATCAGCATGGGTTGTAATTTACCGGAATTGTATAATTTGTCTACATCAGAGCCTCCACCAACACAATTTCCATTAATGAATACCTGAGGTACCTGTAAATAATGTAATAAAAATATTAATAATTTATTATTACAATCCACAAGTTTATAAAATGATGTATATATATAGATATATAATATAAGATGTATAATATAAGATATTATATTAAATAAAAGTTATTGATTTACTATGTATTTGTAAAATGTGATTGTTATGTATGTGTGGTGTTGTGCTTAATTTAACATATAACTAACAAAATCTAAAATACAAAAATTGCAATAAAATATATTTATATATTATGTTATTTCCTAAAAGTTATTGGAAAAAATAGTTTGTAATCTTTTTGTTTGACTATTCATTAAATTCACATTGGAATAAATCATTTCAAATTTTCTTTCTTATAATATATATAAAATACCAGAATATCTAAAGAGATATTCTGGTATTGTACACTGGTACATAATAATTTTAAGCATATAATGCTTAGTAATAAACTGTACTGGTTAAATTTATGACATCACTTAGTGAGACACTACCTATTTATAGTTATAAATATATTTTGCTGCTATGCAAAATTGTTTTGTATTAAATGAGACACAGGATCTAATAATGAATGTGTGAAAGTGCAATGATGTATACTAATATCTACTATTAAAACTAATTTCAATTGCAAACATATACATTTTATTAAAATCATAGATTACCTAAGTTAATACTGTTGCCCTGCAAGGGAAATTATGAGTATGTAGAATAAATCAATTCTCACTGGTGTTTGTTTTTCATAAATAACACTATTTATTAAAAAAAAACTTATATAATGCCATACTTGGTGTGTCAAATGTTATGTTATGGATGTCTCTAGATTTAGTATTTACGATATTTGAAAACAGCATGCTGTATTTAGTTACTGTAGTATAGAAATTTAAACAATTTAAAAAGTATTTGCAAAGTTATAAATTATTTAACATTTACAATAATTCCCTTTCCTTGTTGATTTTAAAATAAATACTTAGTAATGTTATCACTTACTGTTCTAAATCCAGTAATTTGTTGCAAATTATTCTGAATGACATCACCATCATCACGGTGGTCAAGTTCATAGACCTTGATAGGCTGCTTCACTTTATTGAAAACCTGGAAATGAGAAAATAAAATGTAAGAAATAATAATTATTGCAAGCTCACAATGTGGTCTAAAGTAAGACTATAGATATGATCTTGGAACCAGAGAATTTTTAGTTTTAATATTATGTACATGAACTGTCTAGTTCAGTTAGCCCATCAGGTTGATTCACCAGGAACGATAACAAAAGAAACAGTGATGGTTTGATAATGTGAATATTGATGTGACATAAGCCATTGCAAGCAATGCAGTCAATGGTGACCATTATTAAAAATCCTTTCCCTCCATGATGCCTACAGTGTATTAAATATTAACCATAACTTGTATATGGTTAGCAAAATGCACATGACAACCCTGGTGTTGCGGGATTTGATAGTATCCTTAAAAGGATTTGCTATCAGACGGACCATCATGTAATCAGTGTAAATTTACACTAGCCTATAGAAATGTTATAATATCTGAGATTATTCAATGAGATAAAAATTTTTATGTATATTTTTAAGATTGGGAGCCTATCGATGTGACAGCAATAAAAAATATTTGAAACGTATTATAAAAATTTACATCCTTAGCCAGTTTGCAATATGGACAATAAGATTTCGAGAACACCACAACTTTATCTTGGGAAATAGCAGTTTTGATGAACTGTTGTACGTCTGGAGAGCTCGCCATTTTAGATACACTAAAAATTTTTGTTAATGATGATCCCATAACATTCACAACAGGAAAATATTAAAATAGTGACAAGACAATTTTTTTTTTTATCCTTAATGGAAAGGCAAAGAGTCTAAGCCCATACAGCCGTAGTGATAAGACAATACAATATGACAATTTATTGTAATGACAGCCCTCAGACAAATTGACTGACAGTAAACTGTGCTGTACTGTCAGTCAATATCACAGCGTCTTTATGTGAGAGCGCGGGAAGCTTTAAACTGAATAGGCGCATGGCTGTATGTGCTGAGTCCTTTTGCCTTTCCCTATAAAGGGAAAAACCGAACCAAAAAAAAAAACTGAATAGGCGCCTTTTTTTATTATCAATTTCAAATAATCCAAATTTATTTAATTTGTTGACTGTTAATACATATTCACACTTAAAGTTCAGATTTAATTCTTACTAAGATGGGAAGATGTGGAAGAAAGAGGAAAAAAGAAATAGCTCAAGATGATGAAGACACCTTCAGTAAAACTTCATCTTCCTCGGAAACTGATATGGAAATAGAACTTAAGAGGCCTATTACAAAATGATGCCGCTCAACTTTAGGTTTAATCGCATGGATTTACGCACACACACAGTAATACACGCACACAGACGCAAATAACCGTGTAGCTCAATCGGTGTGGATTTAGTATGAACCATTTTGATCCTTGTAATATTTTAATTAATAATGTGATATATTTCTACTTAACTGAGTAACATAAACTACTTATTGATTTTTTTAAATAACGTTTTTTATCTTAATTATCAAAATGCTAATAATGACCATATTTTTTTATTATATTATTTCTAGAGGGTTGATGTCAGGATGCTGGCCGATTGTACAACTAAAAGCCAAAACCTTAAGTAATATGAGTAACAAATAATTGGGATAAGGACAGGAAGATGAAATACTATAACATAAATTTACTAATTAATTCTTCTTACATATTAATTCAGTTTATTTATTAATAGATACAATATAATTTATTATAAGAGTCGGATACATTATTGCCATATTCACTTGTTCTAAATATTATACTTAGCAAATAATTATTTTATTTATATATAATAGTTGTGTTTTCAAGGCTTTGTTTTGATTTAAAGGTCCCATCCTTATATGTATATTAGGTGTGTCCGCGACTTCGTCAGCGTGGTATAATGAAATTGACCAAATAAAGAAATATATTTAGATTATAACCTAAAAAAGTTTCATTGTTTCACTTAAACAATGACGATACTTTTATACAACCTTTCATCTCCGCTTTTAATCCCTTACAATACTTTTTTCGCACTATAAAGTAGTCTATGACCTTTCTCAGGGTATACTATCTGTTTATATGTATATCTATCTATATAGACTACCTGTGTATATATATGGTAGTGAATTTACAAGGTACAGGGGAATAACACCCGAGTTTTCAGGAATGGCAACGCATGAGGGAAACAATGTGCTGATATGAACATGTCAGGTACTGCTCATGTATATAGGCGACGGTTACCCCTTTCCATCAGGAGAGCCGTCAGCTTATTTGCCATTCTAAGTTGTAAAAAAAAGCTTCAACTGCTATCATTGCTGTTCCTGCATCATTGACGTCCCCGCATGATATTGGCTGATATTGCAGCTTCTCGTTCTTGGTTGGCCGATTCTTGATTCTTGATAAATAATTAATTGTTAATGTCAAACCTTTTTATAAATTATTATAAGACGCCTCATTGATTATATGTAATGAAATCACCATGAGCTATAGAGATTTTGGACAGAACCTTAAAAGACCTTAGAAACACCTCTACTCTCATTAGCGGGATTACTTTTATACTTTTGCTGGAGATTTCTGAAAGACTCTCTGTGACATTAACATAACTCCCTTATGGACTTTAATTGAAAGTTAAAAACTACTCACAAATATGAGAGCTCATTTTTATGGAAGCACATATAGTGATTTCCCACACTAAATGCTCAAACTTGAGGAAGGAATTTCTCAAAAGCATGATCCAGTCATGAAATTTAAGCCCGCCGAACATGTGCAATGGCGTCCCATTGGATATATTGCTTACTAAAGAATTGAAAGACAATTTAATTGTAGACCATTATAACCGGTACGTTAGCTGGGCAACCAGCTTATATACCAAGAATACCGATGATTCCAACTGATCTGCCAATACCATTTTAACGGCTTCAATTTCCGGTTAAAATATCATCTACACATGTAATAGATCTATGTATGTTTTGATCTTAAAAAACTACGCAGATTTTGATTCGTTGTTATTTAATAGACAGAATAGATAGACTCAAGAGGAAGGTTTATATATAACGTCCCAATACTGTACACGGATCTTTAAACGCGCGATAACCTATATATCCCATATTCATGCGGGCGAAGCCGCGAGCTAAAAGCTAGTCTCTAAATAAAAACATTTATAATGTTGTTGACTTTTCACCCAAACACGCATAATTATTTGACATAACTGTACAGTAATGAAAGTCCAACGAGTATAATAACAGAATAGCTGCAATTTAGAAATATCTGTATTGTGTAAAATAAAATAAAATTGGATAAAATATCTCTAAACATTAAGGAATATAATTTATATATAATTTTGTAATTTATTTACAATCCACATTGCATACTAGATGATATACACTATATAACACAAGACAAATGTACGTAAAAATAATAATGGTATTTTTATAAACAATAACCCTATTTTAATTTAGAAAAAAACTACAAAATAAACATAGAGTAAAATTGGTTTACATTTTCTTACATTTTTTTCTCGGATAAGCGTTATTTTAAAAAATACTAAAATGTTCTCTTTTTTAATTTTAACAATTAATTGCCATTAGTGTGACGAAATACCATGCTCTTGTGCTTTTCATAGTCCAGCAGGGTAGGTAGGTTTTATTTGTAGCATAACTGTACTTTTGTCTTGGCATGCTAAAATAAATATTATATATAATAATAAATATATATATTTAACAACAACTTTAAATTAATATTCGTAGAAATAAGTATATATTAGCAAAATTAATTAAATATTATTTAAATTATCAAAATTGTTTAGTCGCTGTATACTAATGTTCACTGACGAATGTCTTATCGTAGCGGTGTTGTAAAAAATGGCATAGATCCTCCCTCGACGAGCGCTAGCGCAGCACTGAGAATTTACTTTTGGCGCAACGGAATTTATACAACTTTAAATTATTATTATTGTTTATTTCTTTCTTAGAAACTTATATTTTTTTCATATTTCTAATTTACAAGTATATTAACTTTATTATTATGTTTTTTTTATGCAAAAATTTCGTTGTATTTATGAGAAAATTAGAAATGATTATGGCAAAGTTTTGTTGAAATTTCGGGTTTAATTATGATCAATTTTTTAGATATTTAAGTTGAAAATGAAAAAAAGGACGATGCTGTCTCAATTTATAAAGTAATTATCAAGTTTTAGTAAAGATATCATATCAATTTATGTTTGTTTATTAATGAACGACGACCCCAAACTTCTGTCATTTAGCGTTTTTGAATAAACTATTTTAGAAATTAGGAAGACTAACAAAGAGAAAATTAACATTTCAAAGATGTTGTTTTTAAGATTAGATATCTATCTATATAATTCAGGAATCAAAATGTATATCCGACTCTTAATTTCTTAGAACCAGAACCCCAAAGACCCTGCTTTTAGGCCAAAAAATGTGAAAGGCCTCTTAAGGATTTATATAAACCTTATTTTGTATCAGACTATTCGTGTAGGTCCAGAAGATTCGCCTGCAACGGAATTCGTAGTATTTGTAAAGTCAATAAATCCTAAAAATCTTCTAAAACATCTAGTAGAATATTTTATTGAATCACACTCTTTTATCTAATAATCAATTTGGCTTCCGGCGCGGATTTTCCGCTCGGGAAAGTTTAGGACACCTCTATTTAGTTATAAATAGAGCTTTTGCTAAAAATAATCATTTGTGATGTGTTTTTCTTGATATTATAGGTGGATTTAATAATGTTAATCATACAATACTTTGTAATATTTTACATTCTGTAGGTCTTTCTAATAAATTAGTTTACTGGATATATAATTTCCTCAATAGACGTCAAGATTATGTTAAATTATCGAATAAAACTTTATTAGGTCCACGTCTGTCACTTTTAGGTGTTTGTCAAGGTGGAATATTATGCCCAATTCTTTATATACAAGGTTTGAATGAAGTAATACGTAACGAAGTCTCTACAATTCGCAGACGATTTAGCTATTTATAGCGTTGGTGAAAATATTTCTGATACAGTTAATAAAGTTAACAAAGCATTAGATGGTTTAAATATTTAAATATTTTTTCCTCATTAAATTTAGAAATTAGTCCTAATAAAAGTAAAACGGTAATCTGTGCTGAATACCAAAATTTTGCAGTTCCAGCAGTTATGTATAAAGAACAAGTCATACTATATACAAATGAAGTAAAATTTTTAGGTGTAATATTCCATAATACATTTAACTGGAAAATGTACGTGGACAGGATTACAGAGAGCTATGAATGCAACGAATCTTACGATTCCTGGTTGGATGTCATTGGGGATCAGATCCAAAAAGATTATTAATCCTTACTAATATTATAAATGCGAAAGTAACTCTGTCTGTCTGTCTGTCTGTCTCGCTTTCACGCCAAAACTACTGAACCGATTTAAATGAAATTTAGTACGCAGATAGTCTAGACGCAGAGGAAGGACATAGGCTACTTTTTAATGCGTAAAAAGGGTTGTAAGGGGTTCAAAATGGAAATACAAGGTTATCTTTATGCGGTTGAATCCTTATTCGTCATCTTTTCATTTCACTTGCTAACAACCAATCAACACATCGCGTGCGTTTGCGCCATTCGCCATCTTTTCATTTCACTAGCTCACAACCAATCAACACATCGCGTGCGTTTACGCCAATAAGGTATCCATCACAGAGAACAAAACCACAGATAACATAATGTAAAACGAAAGATCTTGCCGGAAACATGACGTTGACGTTTAGTGAAAA